CGGATTGTGCTTGGACATGGAGGCAAGTTTTAAAACTTCGTCCTCTACTGAAAAATATCATTTGGATGCAAGTGGGAGATGGAAGACAAGTTTCACTATTCTATGATTGGTGGGCAGGTGAGCAAAGGTTCTGTGAGTTGATCTCAAAGGATGAGATTGCTGTTTGGGGTCATGACCTTACAGTTTGTGAGTGGTGGGATGGTTTAGATTGGACAATTCCAGATAGTTTTGTGAGAAGACATCCCATGCTTGTCCAGATTATTAGATGTCAAAAACTATCTCAACAAGTGGACAAGGTTATATGGAAACCTGCAAAGAATGGTTTGTTTACTATTTCAAGTTGCTATGAGTGCCTAAGAGTGAAACGCCCAAAGGTAGAATGGCATCATATTGTTTGGGCAGGGTGCATTTTCCCGCGACATAGATTCATCTTTTGGTTGGTATTGCGGGGTAGACTAAAAACTAAAGATTTACTAACTAGTAGAGGTATGAGAATTGAGAAAGGGTGCTGCTTGTGTGGTAGATATGATGAAACTTGTGAGCACCTGTTTTTTGATTGTAGTTTTGCTAAAGAAGTGTGGAGGTTAGTCTTGGACTTCTTGAATATTCACAGACAACCAAAAAGGTGGAGTGTTGAATGGCTATGGTTAAAGAAGGCATGTAAAGGCCGATCGACGCAGTCAAACAAGTTGAAGGCTGCCGTAGCTGCCACTATATATATGATTTGGCAGGAAAGAAATAGGAGAGTAACTCTTAGTAAGTTTTTGGTTGAAAATGATGTATATAATAATATAGTTAATTTTTTGAGATTAAAGATCTGAAAGGTGTAATTCCCCGGGTATACCTGGGAGGAATTTGTATATGTCATCTAACGTCTAATGGAAAACTTGCCATTTTCCAAAAAAAAATCCTTGCCCGTCTAATTCCTGATGACCCCCTGATTCCTTTGCTGAACAGGGATGCACAACCGGCTGCGGTTGTTACAACTCGAAACTCCCCCGCTCTCAGCAACATAGTAGTGCCGACCAGGCCAAGGGGAAGCGGGAAGCTAAACCTCGAGCCCAGCTCGTCCAAACATAGTGAAGAACTGATGAAAAAGAACGCAGACCTTGAAAGACAGCTGCGAGATGTACAAAAGTCTATTGACGAGCTGAAAAGTCCCAGGTCGCACCAACAGACCCTGGATTTGGATAGTGCTCCCCTAAATCTATCCATCACAGCAGAACCCTATAAAGAAGGATTCAAAATTCCCCACCTGGAGACATATGATGGCTCAGGCGACCTCGATGAACATCTGCACACTTATCAAGCCATCATGAGAATTCAAAATGCAAATGATGCCATGATGTGCAAAGGGTTTCCAGCAACGCTGAAATCAACAGCCAGGAGATGGTATCACAAGCTCCCCAGACATTCGATAGACTCTTACTCCCAGCTCGCCAAGCTATTCTCCAACAAATTCGTGAGCCAAAGAGAGATCAAACGCACAGCGACCGAGCTGATGCAAGTTAATCAAAAGGAAGGGGAATCTCTGAGAGACTACATGCAGCGATTCAACAAAGCCACTCTGGACATTGACAATGTCCCTGACACCATCTGTCTGTCTGCATTGCTGCATGGCTTGAAGCGTGGTCGGTTCCTAGACGACCTGCTAGAGAACCCACCCAGGACTTGGAATGAAGTGAATGACAGGTCGGCTAGCTTCATATTATCAGAAGACTTCTAGTCGTCCAAGCGACGAGCTGACGATAAGCAAAGCAAAAGCCAGGAACAGCCACCGAGGAGAGAAGAAAAGAAAAAGCAAAAGGTCAGCGAGCAGTGGGGGAAGCCCGCTGACTTCCCAAAGTATGCCAACTACATTCCTTTAACCCTGCCAAGGTCTCAAATCCTTGCACAAATCCAGCATTGGGTTAGGAGACCCCCCCTCCATTGCATGATTCCCCAAGAGCAGATAAGAGCAAACATTGTGACTACCATCGTGTGTATGGCCACAATACAGAAGACTGTCAACACTTGAAGGATGAGCTGGAGTTTCTGGCTCGCAATGGAAAGCTAGAAGGATATGTTCAGAAGCCCCACGCCCAGCAACCCACTCAAACTCATTTTGTACAGGGTTACGATCGACCTCAAGGGCAGAGGTACCAGCTCGGTGGGGCACAGAATGTATATCAGGATAGCCAGTATCTTTCTGACCAGGGGAGGGCATACAGAGGGCGTCCGTTCAACAGGAGAGGACAGGGACAGAGAGCTACTGCTCAGAACCAAAAAGATAAGAAAGGGGTAGGCTATGCTGGGATACCCCCGCCCTCAAGTACAATAAACATGATATCAGGTGGTGTTCACTCTGGGGGCCAAAGCGTCCGAGCCCGCAAGGCATATGCCCGACAGGTGATGACTGTCAACAAAAATCGACCCTTGAAGCGGCCGTTTGAGGAAGCAGAATGGGAGAGTACGCCTATCACATTCAGCCCGGCAGATTACAAGCGAGCAGAAAGAGAGCCTGACATTATAATGCCCCATGCAGATCCCTTTGTAGCAACGGTTCATATAGGCAATCATAATGTCAATAAGGTGTTTATTGACACTGGCAGTTCACCAGATATCCTGTATTGGAGTTGCTTCCAGAAGATGCAGCTAAATCCAAGCTCGCTGCAGAAGCACGAAGGGCCAATATACGGGTTTGATAACCAGCCCGTCCCGGTCGAGGGAGTTATCACTCTTCCTATATATGTGGGCTCAGAACCACGCTTCAGGATGGCTTCCGTCACCTTCCTGGTCGTTAAGATGGAATCAGCTTTCAATGCTATATTAGGAAGAGCCACCCTGTGTGAACTGAAGGCTGTCATCTCACAACCCCATCTCTGCATGAAATTCCCAACTCCTCAGGGGGTAGGAGTGCTAAAGGGGAATCAGAAGATGGCTAGAGCCTGTTATCAAGACACATTCAAGAAGGTCGAGCTCGCCGCAGCCCCAGCATATGCTGAAGGCCGCAAGCCAACCCAGCTCGGTCAACAGACAATGAGTATATCAGACATTGAGCATCGACCTGAAAGCGTCGAGCAGAAGGCAGAGCCAGTAGAGCCAGTGGAAACGGTGCCTTTAAACCCGGATGTGCCGGAGAGAAC